ATTGCTTTGGGCTGATCTGAGGTCTCACTGCTCTTGTGTGTTAGTCATCTATTCCACATAACCTCTTTTTGAATGCATATGCGTAGACTTCTGTGGCGACTCAACAACGTTTTGCCCTGATAGTTGGAGCAACTCCTGTGGTCTGTTTTTTTGAACACTGGTATTACAGCCCCGTTATGAAGGTTATTGATATTTTCTCGTGACCGCTTCAGATTAAGAGGCACGTGTTAGAAAAGAATTGGCTTATTTGACCGGCATTTTATGGTTGCTTTCATCGCATGTACTAGCCCTTGCACTTTTCGTGCTTTTTACTGCTTCTTTCCTTGTGGGTCTACACCTGGGTCTACTGAACGATTAAAATTGAAGCTTGCTGTCTCTTCAGGCGAGTTTGTCTGCGATTGCTCCGTAGTTAAGGAATCCTTATACTAATCTTTCCATTGCCTAGGTATATTTATGTCACTGGTTAGTAGTCATCGAGACGTATCTTTCAGGAACTTCTTCAAGCTTGTAATAGTGTCTGCGACGGTGCATGATCTACCGGAATGTCTTGCTTTCTTTCTGGAGATTGGACTCCATTTCACCATACTTTTCGGAAGAATCAGCTTTCTCTTTTGACACTGCTTCAGCTGCCTCTTTGTGGTTTTCCTTCTACTGCAGTTGAATTGAATCGCCTTTCCTTCCCAGCCATTTCTTGAATGTGTGCCTCTTTTCATTGGTTGCTTCTTGTGTCCCCTGGAAGTTCTTTCCTGACCTTCAGGCAGGAAGCCAACCGGTTTGAATCCAGAGGATTCCATAGGAGCCTCCGACTATCCCGTTTTTAAAGATCTGGCACTCGGTTTCCACATCACTGGTCATCATTCACATCTGTTGAAACCATCCTACGTTATTCTTTGCAAATTTCGCTCTCGTTTCCGCAGGAAATAGTGTTTCTCATTTGATTCTCCGGTTGCTTCTAGCACCAGATCTTCGTATGGTTCTCCATCTTTGAGAGCGTACCGTGCCAACAAGAAGGTGTTGATCGATTGACACCTCTCTGCCTGTGTTTATGCGAACGTCTATTACAAGCAATCATCGATAGGATTATCCAATCGATCATCGACTTCTGTGCACAAGCATCCCTGTTCCAGGTGTACTGATGGACTCTTCGATGCTCGAAGAAGATTTTCATTATAGTGGTTCGGTTGTTTGCCCACAACCTCAAGATGTTTATGCCGTTTTTTACAGTCACGCCTTTCCACTTTTCAACGTCAACTCCGACATGCACATTAACATTGCCCATGACTGTGACGGTGTCCGTTTTCG